TTTCTCAACCGTGGCGACATTAAGCCCTGTGGACTTCAACTCCCAGAATCCCCCAGCCAGCTGTGCTGGCTGGGGGGTTCTGGGAGTTGAAGTCCACAGGGCTTAATGTCGCCACGGTTGAGAAACACTGACCTAGAATATTTTGTGTAAAATGAAGGAATAACAATCATAGTGGAAAAATGATAATAATGTATTTATGCTTATTCAATGGATAATTTGTGATTTGATATACAATTGTAAGTGGCGAGAATGGAGGTGCACAAAAACCTGTAACTAAACGGCACGCTATATGAAACAGTTGCAGGTTGTACGTTTTATATGTTTTGTTTGTCTTTTTTAAAAAATAAAAATAAAAATTTAAAAAAAGGGCCTCCAAACTGGCTTAATTAAGTTTGGAAAGAAGAACACAGCAAGGACGAAAGATCGTTGGATCCCAGATCTGCGCATCTTAATAGTTTTATTAATGAGTTAGATACAGGTAAAAGGTACCCCTTGCAGATGTGTGCTAGTCGTTCCCGACTCTAGGGGGCGGTGCTCATCTCCGTTTCAAAGCCGGAGAGCCAGCGCTGTCCAAAGACGTCTCCGTGGTCATGTGGCCAGCATGACTCAACGCCGAAGGCGCACGGAGAGCTGTTCCCTTCCCACCAAAGGTGGTTCCTATTTTTCTACTTGCATTTTTTACCTGCTTTCGAACGGCTAGGGTGGCAGAAGCTGGGACAAGCAACGGGAGCTCACTCCATTATGCGGCACTAGGGATTTGAACTGCCGACCTTTCTGATCGACAAGCTCAGCGTCTTAGCCCCTGAGAAATCATATAAGGTTATGAAAGCAGAGGTTGGACAGAAATCTCTTTTTCACATCTCTGCTGTTTTTGGTTGCCAACGTGACCCGACAATTGCGCGATAGACATATGCGCGCTGACAAAATCGCGCCTATTAAAATGTAAAGTCCAAATTGCGCTGACAAATTCGCGACGACAAAAGCGCGATGACAAGCACAATAAAATCAAAAAAATTACCGTTACTGTTTGGTTAGCGAATTAGTTCAATGTGACCGCACACCATTTAAAAACTCAGCAGTAAAAATTTATTATGTCACTAAATAATTTGAATTAATTTAGGGTTAGGGTTCGTTGTGCATATTGTTGTTTTCCTTTCTGTGACTTAATAATATCCATGGCTTCAGTATAACTAAAACGTGTTATTCAACTGGTGTGTGCTGACTGCATTATAACGTACGTTATAACGTACGTATATGCGTCCCACTATGTTAAAGGCCCAGTACACTCACTGGGCTGTCTATAGTTTGTTGATGACGCGATTTTGTCGGCGCGCATTTGTCCGGCACGCTATTGTCGAAAACCAATTAGCGATTTCGACGGCGCTCATTTGTCCGTCGCGGTTTTGACGGCGCGCATATGTCTATCGCACATTTGTTGCCGAGACACACGCAGAGGTTTATAATTAATGGCAGCCTAAGAGGGAAGAATGGGGATAGACAATGTCTCAGGTGAGCTTATTTGCATGGTTTTGAGATGAGTGGCAGGCTAGTCATTCGGTTGAAAAAGGCCCCACCTTCTTTCCTGATGGAGGATGAGTAATCTTTTAAATGCAGGAAAGACCAACTTGTGACATTCTTTGCCTCTGACTGCCCGGTGTCTACACCCGGCCTTATTTTGACAGTCGAGTAACCAATAAAACAGATCCATCCGGAGTTGTTCGGCTCCACCCTGGACCTCACAGCTTAAGCTCGTTACTCAGTGGCCAAAATATGTGTGGAAGTGGCCCATCGTGTGGTGGAGGCCTTTCCCAAATCCAGCAGCTGCGGTGGGATAATGGTCTGGCTGCCCCTGAGAGTCATTAATCAGAATAGAGCTGGAAGGGACCTCAGAGGTCTTCCAGTCCAGCCCCCTGCTCAAGCAGGAGAACCTATGTCATTTCAGACAAGGGTCTATCCAGCCTCTTCTTAAAAAACCTCCAGTGTTGAAGCACCCACAACTTCTGGTGGCAAGCTGTTCCACTGGTTAATTGTTCTCACTGTCAGGATATTTCTCCTTAGTTCTAGATGGCTTCTCTCCTGGATTAGTTTCCATCCATTGTTAATTGTCCTGCCTTCTGCTGCTTTGGAGGACCCCTGCTTCTTGCCCCTCAAATACTGGAATCCTGCTATCATGTCCCCCCTAGTCCTTCCTGGCCAGACCCGAATCCTGCAACTGTTCTTCGTATGTTTTAGTCTCCAGGCCTTTAATCCTCTTAGTTGCTCTTCTCTGAACTTTTTCCAAAGTCTCCACATCTTTTTCTAAGGTGGGGACCAAAACTGGATGCAGCATTCCAGGTGTGGCCTCATTAAGGCTTTATAAAGTGATAATAATACTTGGTGTTATTTTGATTCTGTGCCTCTGTTTATGCAACCCAGGATTGCATTACTTTTCTTGGCGGCTGCTGCTGTAAAGCACTGGCTCATATTTAAGTGATCCTCCACCAGGACTCCAAGGTTACTCACAGTTACTGTTTCGGAGCCAGGATTTGCCTAATCTCTTCTCTAAAATCCCTTTGGGTTTTTTCCGGCCAAGATTCACAGAAAACCAAATTGCCCGAAAACCATAGAGACCCAAAGAGGCTGAATTTGCACGACTTAATCAATCTCGGAGACAACTTTAATGCCTCTTCTAATTTACCAAACCCCTAAGAATATCCGTCCCCATTAATCCTGTCCAGCTGCCAAGATAAACGCTGGAATTTTGCCATAAAGACCATAAACCAGTGTTTCTCAACCTTGGGAACTTGAAGATGTCCGGACTTCAACTCCCAGAATTCCCCAGCCAGCATTCGCTGGCTGGGGAATTCTGGGAGTTGAAGTCCGGACATCTTCAAGTTCCCAAGGTTGAGAAACACTGTCATAAACTCATCATTGGGATGCTGACATTGGGGAATTCTGGGAGTTGAAGTCCTTCCGGCTTCAAGTTCCCAAGGTTGAGAAACACTGTCATAAACTCATCATTGGGGGGGGGGGGCTCATCACTCAGTTCCCATGGAAACTGGATCAGTTCAAAACTCCGGTGCCCCAACAGCTGTGGGGAAGATTCTCTGCCTTCACACAACCCCCTTGGCCCACCACTGACCCATTTGCTCGCCTGGGGGGCAGAAGACAGAGCCATAAGCTACTTAGAACTCCCTGGTTTTGCTAGGAAATCACAGAGCACCTAGGGCAGGGGGGGGGGCAACCTTTTAGAGGCCGAGGGGGCCAAACTGCGACCCCAAAACCCACTTATTTATCACCAAGTGCCAACCCGGCCATTTAACCTGAATAATGAGGTTTTACTCCCTAAAATAATGATAAGCAAGGCATAACTAATTGTTCTAAGGAAAATGTGATCATTGCACTTTTATGCCCCTTCATTCCCCTATTTGAATTATTACGTTTAGCAACAATAAAAAAGAAAAACTTTGGTAGTATCATTTCTTTTTTCCCCCTTCTCTCTTTCCCCCTCCTTCGTCTCTTTCCCTCATCTCCGTTTCTCTGTGTTTCTCTCTTTCCCTCCTTCTCTCTTTCCCTCATCTCCCCCTCTCTCTGTTTCTGTGTCTCTCTCTCTTTCCCCATCTTTCCCTCCTCCTTTTTCCCTCCCTCTCTTTCTCTCTCTTCCCCCTTCTCTTTCCCTGCCTCTCTCTCTTTATCTCCCCCCATTTCTCTGTGTATTTCTCTTTCTTTACCTCCATCCCTCTTTCTTTCTGACTCTTTCCCTCCTTTCTCTCTTTCCCTGCCTCTCTCTCTCTTTCCCTTCCTCCCTCTCTCTTTCCCTCATCTCCCACTCTCTGTTTCTGTGTTCCTCTCTCTTTCCTTCCCTCTTTCTGTCTCTCTCTCTTTCTCCTTCTCTTCTCCTCCCCCTTTCCCTTCCTCCCTCTTTCTCTGTCTCTCTCTTCCCCCCTTTCTCTCACTTTCCCTGCCTCTCTCTCTTCCCCTTCCTCTCTCTCTCTTTCCCTTCCTCCCTCTCTCTCTTTCTTTTTAGTCCCACATTTTTTTTGTTTCCATGCAAACGACTGTGAGAAATGCAATGGAGCTGGGCCGACGGTGCGCCTGCCCACAGAATGGGCTCTGCGTGCCACCTCTGGCACCCGTGCCATAGGGTCATAAGGGGGAAAAATACCCCTAACCCAATTAGCCTGTTATGTGATGCTGTGTGGACAGCCCCCCCCCCAAGCTCCCAATTCTCATTCCTTACAGCTCACCCTTGTTTTAAACTGAAGCCATCCGTGAAAAGAATTTAAATCTGTTTTTTTTTTTACAGCCGGACCTGCTGACCTCAAACAAGGTAGCTTTTGTCCATTAAATGTGAAGGACATAATCAGATTTTGGCATTGGCTCTCACCTCCTGCTGAGCCTTCGGAGGGAGTTCACAGTTCTGGATCTCTTTGTACACCTTCCGGTTGCCAACGGCCTTCCTGCAGTCCGTTTTTGCCAACTTCATCGTCAGATAATATTTCGCTCCTGCGACCACCTGGATTTAAATGAAGGAAAACCAGTAATGTGACCTTAAAGTGAATTACAAGGGGGGGGGGGACCCAGAACAGGCTCAGCAGCATAGATAGATAGCAACCCGGGAAGTAGTCTATAGCTAGAGAGGAACAACAACAGAATAATAACAGAATAACAGAGTTGGAAGGGACCTTGGAGGTCATCCAGCCCAGCCCCCTGCTCAACAGGAGACCCTCCTCTCCTCCTCTACAGAATAATAGATTTGGAAGGGACTTTGGAGGTTTTCTAGTCCAGCCAGTTGCTCAAACAGGAAACCCTGCTCTCCTCTTTAGAATAATAGAATTGGAAGGGACCTTGGAGGTCATCTAGCCCAGCCCCCTGCTCAAACAGGAGACCCTCCTCTCCTCCTCTCCAGAATAATAGAATTGGAAGGGACCTTGGAGGTCTTCTAGTCCAGCCAGTTGCTCAAACAGGAGACCCTCCTCTCCTCCTCTACAGAATAATAGAATTGGAAGGGACCTTGGAGGTCATCTAGCCCAGCCCCGCACGGTTGTTAAGTGAATCCGGCTTCCTCCACTGACTTTGCTTGTCCGAAAGTCGCAAAAGGGGGAAAATCACATGACCCCAGGACAGGCAACCGTCATAAATACGAGTCAGTTGTCAAGTGTCTGAATTTCGATCACGTGATCCCGGGGAGGCTGCAAAGGTCGTAAGTGTGGAACCGCCCCCCAAATTCCCTTCCATTGGTCCTACAGCACCAATTCCCTTCCACTATACCTACAGCCCCCCAATTCCCTTCCATTGGACCTACAGCCCCCTAATTCTTTCCCATTGGACCTATAGCCCCCCATTCCCTTCCATTGGACCTACAGCCCCCCAATTATTTCCCATTGGACCTATAGCCCCCCATTCCCTTCCATTGGACCTATAGCCCCCCAATTATTTCCCATTGGACCTAAGCCCCCCCAATTCCCTTCCATTGGACCTACAGCCCCCCAATTCTTTCCCATTGGACCTAAGTCCCCCAATTCCCTTCCATTGGACCTATAGTCCCCCAATTCTTTCCCATTGGACCTAAGCCCCCCAATTCTTTCCCATTGGACCTACAGCCCCCCCAATTCCCTTCCACTGTACCTACAGCCCCCCAATTCTTTCCCATTGGACCTAAGCCCCCCAATTCCCTTCCATTGGACCTACAGCCCCCCAATTCTTTCCCATTGGACCTATAGCCCCCCATTCCCTTCCATTGGACCTACAGCCCTCCAATTCCCTTCCACTGTACCTACAAGCCCCCCCCAATTCTTTCCCATTTTACCGACAGCAACCAATTCCCTTCCACTGTACCTACAGCCCCCCCAATTCTTTCCCATTGGACCTACAGCCCCCAAATTCTTTCCCATTGGACCTACAGCCCCCAAATTCTTTTCCATTGGACCTACAGCCCCCCAATTCTTTCCCATTGGACCTACAGCCCCCCAATTCCCTTCCACTGTACCTACAAGCCCCCCAATTCTTTCCCATTCAACCTACAGTGCTTTGGCTATTCCAAAAAAAACCAAGGAGGCTTTTCCTCCCCCCTCCATTACCCCTCCCCCCCACACACACCTGGGACTGCGCGTCCTCCAAGAGCAACTCCTTGAAATAGTTGCCGTTTGCGCTGCGCGCGTTGTATTCTTCCACGGCGAAGGCGGCGGCTTGCCGCACCTCCGGATCCGTGACGGATTTTGGGAAAAGACCCCCGGGAATCGTCGCCGGGACCCCCGGTAGCAGCAGCAGGAGGGCGCAGAGCAGGCAGAGAGGAGCCGGGATCGACAGCTGGCCGTGCATCATGGGGCTGGGAGTCTCAGGAAAGGAAGCAGTGCGAGCAAGCCCAACCGTCGCTCTGGAGGGAAGTCCTTGCAGGCGCCCTAAATACGCTCCAGCTGGAGGTGGGACCGGGACCCGCCCACCTGCGCGGAGGCCGCGCCCCTTCCCGACAAGCCCCGCCCGGCGGCTGAGCCTTCTCCGCTGCCTCGGGGCCCGCCGAGGAGTTCGATCGGACTGTAGAAGGGACCTTGGAGGTCTTCTAGTCCAACCCCCTGCTCAAACAGGAGACCCTTAGTTCCTTCTCCTCCATAATAGAATGGGGAGGGACCTTGGAGGTCATCTAGTTCAACCCCCTGCTCAAAGAGGAGACCCCTTTTTCCTTCTCCTCCATTCTCCTTCAGAATAGAATGGGGAGGGACCTTGGAGGTCATCTAGTCCAGCCCCCTTCATCAAATAGGACACCCTGCTCTCCTTCTCTTCAGAATAGAATTGGAAGGGGCCTTGGAGGTCTTCTAGTCCAACCCCCTGCTCAAAAAAGACCCTTTTTCCCTTCTCCTCCATTCTCCTTCAGAATAGAATGGGGAGGGATCTTGGAGGTCATATAGTCCAGCCCCCTTCATCAAATAGGACACCCTGCTCTCCTCTTCAGAATAATGGAAGGGGCCTTGGAGGTCTTCTAGTCCAACCCCCTGCTCAAAAAAGACCCTTTTTTCCTTCTCCTCCATTCTCCTTCAGAATAGAATGGGGAGGGACCTTGGAGGTCTTCTAGTCCTGCCCCCTTCCTCAAATAAGAGACCCTGCTCTCCTTCTCTTCAGAATAATAGAATTGGAAGGGAGGTTGGAGGTCATCTAATCCAACCCCCTGCTCAAACAGGAGACCCTTAGTTCCTTCTTCTCCATTCTCCTTCAGAATAGAATTGGATAGTCTTCTAGTCCAGCCCCCTGCTCAAACGAGAGACCCTGCTTTCCTCCTCCTAATCAAAATAGAAAGGACGTTATAAGCATAACATATACCAGTATTCCTGGACACAGTATTCCAAGTGTGGCCTTACCAAGGCCTTATAAAGTGGTATTAACCCTTCACATGATCTTGATTTCTATCCCTGTTTATGCAGCCTAGAACTGTGTTGGCTTTTTTGGCAGCTGCTGCACACGGCTGGCTCCTATTTAAATGGTCATCCATTAGGATTCCAAGATCCCTCTCNTACTGGAGAACTTCTAACTGTATATATAAATCTTTAACTCCATTTTTTTAAAGAATTCCTTCTGACAATTTACTTGCTAGGTTATTATCCTTGACTTACAACCGAAAGTGAGCCTGCGTTTAAGCAGGTCATCATCAGTCCTGATTTTATAACCCTTTTGCAGCGGTCGTTAAGTGAACTTGGCAGTTGCTAAGCAAACCACCGTTCGCTGTGGGATGTTTGTTGCCGGAAACTAGAAATAAATGCTGGTTTACAGATCAGTTTCAGTGTTCGTCTGTCCAAAAGGAGTTAACAGCCCAAGGCAGCGATGAGCAAAAGGTTAGGCCAAGATCTATTTAAAGCAGGAATAGCAAATTGCATCCTTTGGGTCACACACATGAAAGCCTCTAATAAAAAGGCATGAACCCTTCCCTTTTTTTTTTTTTAAGAAGCAAGAAGTTAGCTGCCTCGGTTTTCCCAAGTTTATCCATCCAGTCTTTCTTCAGGAAGAAAATAAAACAAAACCGTGCTAGAAAAACCCTTTAAAACAGTTGAGAATTCACCTGAACTCAGGCTTGATGCCCAGATCTTTCTGCTGCAGATCTTGTAAACTTCGGGTGATTTTGTTGAAAGCTGCATCCTAACCAGAAGAAGACATCACTATAAATCCTGGCAGGAGAGGCTTTGAACAGAACTTAAATTACCCACCAAGAACTCCTGAGCAACTGTAGCTCCAGTGACTCTACCAGTCAACCTCTATTTTTTTTTTTGATAAAAAGAAAAAGAAGCTAATATAATCCAGAGCCTCTCAAGCAGACATCAAGGCTGGTTCAGCAGCTTTGAAAGCATGCCACCTCCCAAGCAAAAAAAGAATAGTGTTGTGGCCCGGCAGGAGATGTTGGAGCTGCCGCCAGACTCCGACAGCGAGGGGTCTTATGAGTCGGCCTTGGAGGAGGTGGA